TTGTTGGCCTCACCACAGCCTACGAAATCACAAGGAAGATGCTCCTCACGCTGACTGCGGAAGACCTCACTTTTGCCAATGTCTCCACCGCACTTCTTTCTGCCGAGAGAGACTCCACGGCTCAAGCCAAGGCCTACGCCATCCGTGCTCCCATGCCTCAAGCAAGTGTCGCAGCAGCCCTTGCCTCGGCGCCCCTCCAGTGCAACCGCTTCCCACCGTGCACCTACGTCGTCAAGTATGGCAACCGCAAGGGACAAGTGTGTGGTGGCACTAACCACCCCCTTGCTACGTGCTTCAAGAAGAAGGACGACGAATGGTACGCCATCCACGGCATAGACAAGGGGCCACCGAACTGGATGCGTGCGCGTAAGGCCAACCTGGTTGAGGTCCTGGACCCCGCTTCGGCTAGTGCTAGTGATAGTGCTCTTGCTGATGTGCGTATCAACCTGTTGTTCCCTGGCACTGCCATGATTAATGAAGCTTCCTCCCAGTACCTCGGCTCATCACAAGCACCACAATACATAGAGTTCACACTCGACAGTGTCGCAACTCACATTGTACTCAAGGAGACACTCTCCTTCAAACCCTACGCAACACCCATCCCTCTCCTAGGAGCTGACTCAAGCTTCACCACTCATGCCAAGGGTTCATCCACAGTCCCGTGCCCCGCCTTCCCTTCCGGCACTGTTACTGGAATGTGCGTGCCTTCACTCCGCCACAATCTCGTGGCCCAAACGGAAATTCAGGAAGCTGTACTACGCACCATCTTCTGGGAGAACGAGAACTATGGTGATATCCTCGACCCACTCACCAACAAGGTCTTGACTCGTTTCACCCTCAACAGCAGCGGCCTTTACACGCTGCAAGTACCCATCCCACAGGTGTCAACCACCCAAGCAGAGGCAACTACCTCACCATGCTCGTGCCGCAGTTTCTCCAACCCGACCATACTCTACCATCATCGGCTCGGGCACCAAAACTTCCGCACACTTGCTGACATGGCCTCCAAGAAACTTCTACTCGGCCTGCCAGCCTCACTTCCTCCACCACCAGACTCCCCCGCTCCCACATGCCTTGACTGCACCAAGAGCAAACTGCGTCAACAGCCCCACCCGGCCTCACCCTCTGTCGCAGCAGCACCACTGGACTTGGTACACTTGGACGTCTGGGGCCCTGCCCCGGTTCCCGCACGAGGTGGTTATCGCTACTTCCTTGTTATCGTCGATGACCACTCTCGCTACATCTCTGTTCACCTCCTCCACACTAAGGCTGCGGTTCTAGAGGTCCTCATGGCGTGGGTTAAACAGGCACGGACTACCTTTGACCGTAAATTCAAGCGCCTCCACTCGGATGGTGGTGGTGAGTTTTGCAACGACAAGCGCAAAGCCTTCTGCTCCTCAGAAGGCATCCAGCAAAACTTCACCCTCCCTGACAGCCCGCAGCAGAACGGCATAGTTGAGAGCCGCAACCACACCTTGGTGCAGATCACTCGGTGCCTCCTCGGCCACTCCAACGCTCCGCACTCTCTCTGGGGGTACGCCCTCTACCACGCCGCCCTCCTCTACAACCTTTACCCCCAACCTCATCTTCCCGACACCACTCCAACCACACTCTGGCTCGGGAAAACGCCCACTGCTCGCTCTCTTCGCGTTTGGGGGTGCACCACCTATGTCCTCCTCAACCCTCAGGCTCGACGGCAGCACGGCGGCAAGATCGGTCCCAAGACCCAGACGTGTATCTACCTCGGCACAACGCCGACTCGCCTGAATACCTCTTCCTCAACCCCTCCACTCAACAGCTGGTCAAGAGCTGCGACGTTGTCTTTGATGAGACCCGCCCATTCTACTCCACTTCGGGACGGGACCCTCTCTCTGCTCCACCCTCCCTCGTGTGGGCAGACTTTGATGCGCCTCCTGACCTCCCACCTGCACCGGCCCCCTCACCCCCTCCCTCTCCTGCCATCGCACCTTCCCCCTCAAAGATCTCTGACCCGCCCTCGCCGGTGTCCTCGGCAGCTGCCCCTCCATCCCCCTCACTTTCCACTCCGCCGACTGTGCAGCCACCTCCGAGCGCACCTATCACCTACCATCGGCGGTCCCACCCTCCGGCCCCACACCCTCCCCCGGTTCCCCCTACCACAGAGGAACCCGCTCTCCCACAGTCGCCCGAGCTGATCACGTACCACCGGCGGCCCATTCCCTCACCCAAGCCTCCTAAGTCAACCCCTCCGACACCGCCTGCCCCACCCTCTTCTCCGGTGGCTCATGGCACTCGCTCGCATGGCGCTGCTCTTCCACTAGCGCTGCTTCTTTGATACATAGCGATCACACCGCCTCCTCCTGCTAGGGGGGGATGTGCCCTCTACCCTTCGGGAAGACAGGCATGAGGAGCTATGTGATTCATGCAGTCATTCCTCAGCTCTCGCACATCTGTGCTTCGTTCTATGCTCCAGTCTGTGCTCCCAACACAAGGCTAGCATGGCCTTGTTGTCTACGTACAGGACTGGAGGAGAACGAGGCGGCTCTCCTAGGTCAATCAGCAGGTAGGTGAGCCAGCGTAGCTCCTGTGCAGCCATGGCCCCCGCGTAGATCTCAGCCTCACAGCTGGAGCCGAGAACAGAAGACGAGCGGGTAGACCGCCAAGAAACAGAGCCGGAGCCAAGACTGAAGGTGTAACCCTGTGACGACCGCTGCGTAGCCTGGTCGTCAGCCCAAGAAGCGTCTGCGTGACCTGTGAGGACCACTTGACGTCGCCCTCCAAGCACTAGCCCCATGCCCGACGTACTGCACAAGTAGCGCAACACCCTCTTCACTGCAGCCATGTGCTCTGGTCGGTGTCTCCCAGGAGCAACATAGCGTGCCAAGATGCTAAGAGGGTATGCAAGGTCAGGTCGTGTGCAGGTCATCAGGTACATGAGGCAGCCAACAAGCTCTAGGTACGGGCCACTCGGCTCTACGGACTCATCGGAAGGCAGAGCTGAGAGCGAGTGACGAGTAGACAGAGGAGTGGCCTGAGGCGAGGAGTACGTGAAGTCGAAGTGCTGAAGGACCTGCTGCACCATGTGTAACTGAGTCAGGGTAATGGTGCGCTGTGCTCTGTCCCGGGTGATCTGCAAGCCAAGATAGCTGCGCAGTTCACCCAGGTCTGTGCACGTGTGTCTCTTCTGCAGCTCGGACTTCTCGTGGGCGAGTCCACCAGTGTCAGCAGTGGCAAAGACCAAGTCGTCGACGTACACGAGGATGTAGAACGGCGGCAAAGAGGTGTTGTTGCGTAGAAACAGCAACGGGTCGGCTGTAGAAGGAGCAAACCCAAGAGCCGCAAGTGTAGTCCTCATTGTGTCGTGCCACTCACGGGGCGCCTGGCGGAGACCGTAGACTGGCCGCCGGAGGCTCCACTGGGTACCAGGAGGAAACGACCCAGTGAAGCCAGGTGGGCGGCGCATCCAGATCTCCTCGTGCAGGCTGCCCTGCAAGAATGCCGTGCTGAAGTCAAGAGAGTGGAGCTCGTAGTCGCGCTGAGCGGCTATGTGCAGCAGCACCCAAAGAGTGGTCATCTTCGGGGTGGGAGAGAAGGTCTGAAAGTAGTCAACTCCCTTCCGCTGACTGAAGCCTCGAGCCACGTAACGTGCCTTGAAGACAGGCGGAGAACCCGGTGGCCACTTCACCCTGAAAATCCACATGCCACTGACGATGTTCGCCCCAGGTGGGGGAACCTTGTCGACGTAGGTGCCTGTGGACTTCCAGGAAGCCATCTCTGCGTCCATCGCTGACTGCCATTGAGTAGGGACCCTCGATCGCCTCAGCGTACGATCGAGGAGTCGGGATGTCTGGTTCATCCGGATCTCCCTCAGGGGCAATCAGCGTGGACACGAGATGAGGCAAAGCAGCAGCAAAACACTGGAACTCCTCCTGTCTGTCCTCAAGGACGTCCGTGCTAAGAGCACTCTCACTCCTGACGCACGTAGGACAGACAGACGCACACTCAGCAACGAGACTAGCAGCGTAGTCTAGACGACAGCGAGCAGCAGAGTCGACAAGCTCAGCAACTAAGGCAGACGCAGCAGTGGACTCAAAGGAAGGGTGAGTGACAGCAGTAGCCAGGAGACGCGTGATAGTAGGACTGGCAGCACGAAGAGAGTCATACTCCGGGTCAGCAAGAACAGGAAGAGAGGACTCTGGAGGAGATGGCAACGGGACACGCAGAGGAGCAGTGGACGGACGCAGTGCCATCTGGTGTGTGCCTGGGACCGCAGGAGGACGCGGACGCGGAGCACGACGACTAGTGCGAGCAGCACGAACAGGCAACGCAGGACGAGACACAGGCTCACGACGCTCAGCAAGACCTCTAGTAGGACCAGTGTAGGGAGAAGGAGCTGGTAGGGGGGAGGCGGGCTGTAAGTGTGACTGCGACTGGACAGGATGAGGACACTCTAAGGGAGGAGCAGGACCAGTTGAAGGCAAGAGACCAAGAACCTGCTCCATGAGCGGAACGAAGTACGGCCTCGGCCGCGTAGCGCCTCCAGAACCAGCAGGGACAGCACCAGCACCCCCAGAGGCAGCACCAGCGCCAGCAGCACCTCCAGCTCCAACAGCGCCAACTCCAGCACCCTCAGACGCACCAGCGCCAGCAGAACCACCAGCGCCAGCAGAACCACCAGCGCCAGCAGAACCACAAGCGCTGACACCCCCAGCAGCTCCAGCTCTAGTAGCTCCAGGAGCTCTAGCAGCACCAACTCCAGCAGGCCCGGTAGGAAAGTCCGAGTCGAAACTCTCTCAGAGCTGGAGACGAGCTGCGCGGATCCAGCTGATCAACACCTCAGTGACGTCACCCTTGCTGCGCAAGGGGAAGACTGTGGTGTAACGCGAGTAGTCGTCAACCACCAACAGGAAGTAACGCTCGTGCCCCTGTCCACGGACGAGGGCGGGGCCCCACACGTCCATGTGAAGATTCTGCAGCGGAGCTTCTGTCGGAGGAAACTCGGAGGAGTGAGGGGTGGCGCGCTATCGCCCCTCGACGCAGGGGACGCAGGTGGGGGCAGGCCCCAGAGGTAGGGGAGGGAGAGACCGGGGGAGACCAGAGAAAAGGACACGGGAGGCCATGCCTAGGAGCCGAGGCAGGGAGGGGTGACCAAGGCGGTGGTGCCAAAGGAGAGTCTGGTGGGACAGGAGACGACACGAGCAGGGAGCAGACTCAGGATCAGACCTGGACGCTGCAGCAAACACCTGACTCGACGCAGCTACCTGACCAGACTCAGCAGTCGGAGGAGACTCGGTAGTAAGTGTGTACAGGCTCGACCCCGGCCGACGGGTGAACGTCGCCAAGTGTCGACCTGTCTGAGCACACGTGCAGTGGGTCACCCGCTGACTCGCAGGAGTGAACTGGTCAACCCCCCTATCCTGTAGATCAGCTCCACTCACCAAGTTCGTAGAGAACGAGGGGAGGTAGAGACCTGACAGGGTGCCAGAGGGGGCTGCTGGGCACGGTAAGACAGTTGAGAAGCTAGCAAGGACAGGACCCCTAGAGGGGTCCGCCAGGGAGACTGCAACTGGCCGACTAAGCGGCGTAAGTGTGGTGCGGTCTCGAAAGAAGGAGCGGGAAGCACCTGAGTCAAGGGTGAAGGTGTGCAAGGCCTGAGTAGACGTAGTATTTGAGAGAGAAGACTCACCAGCACCTGGGGCAGCAGACGCACTAGCACCTTGAGCAGCAACCTCACCAGCACCTAGAGCAGCGGCCTCAATGCCCAGGTCAGGCGGAACACACAGGTAACAGTCACCCTCATCACTAGTAGACACAGCATACATGGCAGCAAGAATAGCATCATAATCAAGATCAAAGATAGCAACCCCATCCCTAGACAGAACGTCCCAGCGAGGAATCTCAGTGGCGTCAGGGAACTGGTGACGCCACGCGTCCGTCAGGCGGCCAAAGAAGCGCTGGGTGGAGTGCGGGCCCCTGCATTGCTCACCAGCACGGTCGCGTGTACGGAGGACGTAGGTGCAGGGACCAGTACCCCCACCTCGCTGACGCCCAGTGTACCACTCACGAAGCTGCTGAGGGGACAGGGTCTCACGACTGCGCTGCTGCTGCTGGCGCTGACCACCACCAGACCCACTCCTCTTCGTAGAGCCGCGACCAGCTCCACCGCTGCCGCCGCCGCCTCCGCCACCTCCGCCGCCTCCGCCACCTCCGCCGCCTCCGCCACCTCTGCCGCCTCCGCTCCCTCTGCCACTGCCGCCGCCTCCTCCGCCGTCGCTGCTGCCACCAACACCTCCACCCCCGCCACCACTCCCACGACCACCCCCACCCCCTCCACTGCCTCCACCACCACCTCCACCTTCCCCGCCAGCCCCTCCAGCGCCCTTGCTCCCCTTTCCCTTGCCGGTGCGGCGTCTCCCGCTAGGGGCAGACTCTGCGCCGACCGACTCGAAACCAACGAGGTTGGCCGCAGCAGTAGAAGCAACAGAGGGCAAGATGGGGGAAGGGGAACACCCCTCAAAGACGGGGGTGCGAGGGTCACCACGAGAGGCTCCTACAGCGACTATGCTCTTCTCTGCTGATAGGAGGCGCTCGTCGAGGTCAACGGTGAGTGTGGTGGGGAAAACTGAGAGGAAGTGGTCCCTGACTAAGCGAAGGGAGTCAGGGAGCCGGGTGACTATGTAGTAGAGGGTGATGTACATGGGGGGGGGGGGGGTTCTTGGCACAGAACTCAGCACGAAGCGCAGCGCGGTAGCGAGTGTCACTAGTGCAGAGGTGCGTAATGAGGTCAGCGACTATGGGAAAGGCAGCAAGGTCAGGGAAGAGGTACGGTAGCATGAGGCGGCTCAGTGCAGCAGTGGCAGGGGAGGAGTAGCGTGCAATCACAAGGTCTGAGCACTCTTGTACTGGCTAAAGTGCGCACGCTCAGTGGTCGGTAAGTGGCGACGCACAGCAAGACGTGCAGCAGCATCGCGTGTGGCCCACTGTGAGCGAACAGTGCTGTCAGCAGTAGCAGGCGGGGCAGGGGAGGCACCAGAGGTGAGATCGAACAGGGAGAGTCCGTCTGCCCTATCGCACTGTAGGAACAGCTGGAGATCATCGACCCAGACCTCAAAGTCAACAGCACGCCCCTTAGTATCGAAGGTTAGAACACTGGGGGTAGCCATGACTGCAGTGGCCTAACAGGAAGTGATCTCACCAGTCCGAGTAGGTAGGGTCGGGGCGTGCCTGTAGGAACAGTAGCGGCTCGACGGCAAAGCGGCTCGGCGGCTCGGCTGCTGGGCGGCTCGGCGGCTCGGCTGCTCGGCGGCTCGGCGGCTCGGCGGCTCGGCTGCTGGGCGGCTTGGCTGTCGGGCGGCTCGGCTGCTCGGCGGCTCGGCTGGTGGGCGGCTCGGCTGTCGGGCGGCTTGGCTGTCGGGCGGCTTGGCTGCTCGGCGGCTCGGCTGCAGGGCGGCTCGGCGGCTCTGCTTTTGGGCTTCTCAGTAGAGGCGGCGTTGGGGCCGCTAGGGGCGGCGACGGGGCCGCGTAGGGAGGGGAGCGGTGACGGGGCTGCTAGGGGTGGCGACAGGGCCGCGTAGGGGCGGCGACAAGGCTGCTAGGGACGGCTACGGGGCCGCGTAGGTAGGGTAGCGGCGACGGGGCCGCTAGGGGCGGCGACGGGGCCGCTAGGGGCAGCGACAGGGCCGCGTAGAGGCGGTGACGGGGCCGTGTAGGTGCGGCGACGGGGCCGCGTAGGGTGAGAGGCGGCGACGGGGCCGCTAGGGGCGGCGACGGGGTCGGGTAGGGGCGGCGACGAGTCCGCTAGGGACCACTAGGGGCCTGGAAAGGGCGGCGAACAAGGCGCGCCTCGGGCAGGAGCGACTAACCCTCCGGTCAGAAAACGATTTCAGTGGTGGGCCCAAAGAAGCGTTCCCACTAGGGAACCCTCTCTATACCATTTGAAGAATGAGAAATGAATGAACTAGCAAGCAGGTCGGTACAAGTAGGAAAACCTAAAAGTGTTGTACCCCATAGTGTATACCCCACTACAGCCTACACAGACTATAGCATATGAGTTTGACATGTCCGGCCGTGCATGATTGCGCATGCGGGGTGCTGCGGGATTCTGAAGGGTGCTCGGAATTTACAGTTGAAAAGCTGTTTTTTCGGAGTTGACTCACGGAACAAGTAATTTCGCACGAAAGTCACACCGCTTTGCGGAATGATTTCGACGCGGGTACAAAACTGTTATTCCGTTTTCTCTGTCAATGGGAGTTGTGTGTTGGCCCCGTCCACGCTTGGGCGGAGCCGACTTCGTGGTGGGGTGTACGGAAGGTACAGCCGACTTGCAGCAGTGGGCGATGCCGACTTGGGCGAGCTGGTCGACGGGGTTGGTCGACTTGCACGGGGCCACTGCAATGCCGCCGACTTGGGAAGCCGGCGGCCGACTTCAACTGGTGGTCGGCGATGTGGCACGTCGACCTGGAAGTCGGCGCAGACTTGCCAGATCACCGACTTGCCAGGTCACCGACTTGCAAGGTCACCGACTAAGTCGGCGCCGACGTAGAAGGGGCGTCGACTTGGTGATGCCGACTTTGGGTAGCCGACTTGGGTGGTCGGCTGACAACTGCGCTGGTCGACGTGGAGCTGGTCAACCAGGAGTGACGTCGACCTAGAGCTGGTCGACCAGAGGAGTGGTCGACCTGGTGAGGTCGACTTGGTGTGGTCGTCGACTTGGGAGGTCGACGAGCACATACAGGAGCAGTTGGTCGACATGGTTGCCCGGTCGACCAGGATACCTGGGTGACGAGGTTTTGCAAAGGAGTGCGACGGTCGCCCAGGCAAAGTTGGCGAGTCCGACCTCGGTGGTGGTATCCCGAGGTCGACGTGGCGGATCAGGTGGAGCCGTCAGCACGAAGATGACTTGGTGCGTGCGCTGTTCAGGTGACGAGGCTTAGCCCTCCAATCATCTATGAGCACCTGCGAAGTAGGTGCGCTGCTGTTCTACGGGAGCAACGCTGGCACGCCGTCAACCTGCAGCGTTGGCACGCTGTCGACTTTGCACTGCTGGAGCGCGGTCGACCAAGTCGTGCTGGAACGCGGTCGACCATGCTGTGCTGGCAGTCGACTGACCTGAATGCTAGCTCTGATGTAGTCTTGCCATGCCAACTTCATTGTACCATTGTTGTCAACTTTCTCTTGTGAAACTCTTGCCAATTCTCCCCGTGAACTAGCAAGCTGTGTGTGCACTAGGAAAATGACGAAGGACCAACGAACGCAGAGATCACACAAGCACCCGTGCCTAGCCCGTAGTCTAGCTCCCGTTGTGGTAGTTATCTCCGCATTCTCAACAGTAAAAACCGTTTTACAACTGTTTGCTTGCATGAAATTAATGAGTGCCAATTTGGAGCTACATTGGAACTCATGAGTGAACTCATGATGAGCCAGCAACGTAATTGTCGTATGTGGAATTTGAAGACATGTATTTTCAAGAGGAGAATCAAGCCAAATTCGCATGGAGTTGAGCAACCGTTTTCCAAGACGGCAATGCGAAATTATAGAATGTAGTTAAATAACTGTTTCGCTAGTTTCCTTTGCTTGTATGTGATACGAAATATAAAACGTGTGCTTGTGCTTGATTGTTTTCCATCCTTTCTATTGGAAATATTTTCTAAATCTCTTCGACGAGTTAAGTTGCTCTATCAACGTATTGACGTAAAGAGCTTTTCTACACACGAGCCGATCCGTCGTCGAATGCTGCGCAACGAATTCGTCAAAATCATATGCTATAGTCTGTGTAGGCTGTAGTGGGGTAGACAATATAGGGTACAACTCTTTTAGGTTTTCCTACTTGTACCCACCTGCTTTCTAGTTCATCCATTTTCCTCGTTCTTTCACATGGTATAGAGCAGGTTCCCTAGTGGGAACGTTTCCAGGGCCCACCGAATATCGATTTTTTTTCCTGCCCGGAGCGCGCTTCGCCCCTGCCCGAGTCGCGCCCGTGTGCCTACTCTCCCGTCGCGTCCCCTGCCCTTAGTCGCCCGTCGCGCTCCCCTACGGCCCCGTAGCCGCCCCTCTCACGGCCTCTCACGGCCCCTCTCACGGCCCTTGGCGGCCCCTTCAGGCCCCTCGTGGCCCCTTCGCGGCCTCCCTTCGCGGCCCCTTCGTGGCACCTTCGTGGCCCCTTCACGGCCCCTTCACGGCCCCTTCGCGGCCCCTTCGTGGCACCTTCGTGGCCCCTTCACGGCCCCTTCGCGGCCCCTTCACGGTCCCTTCACGGCCTTTTCGCGGCCCCTTCGCGGCCCCTTCACGGCCCCTTCACGGCCCCCTCGCGGCCCGCTTGCGGCTCCCTTCACGGCCCCTTCGCGGCCCCGCCCCGCTGCCCGTAGCGACCCCGGCCCGTCGCCCTTCGTGGCCCCTTCACGGCCCCTTCACGGCCCCCTCTCGGCCCCCTCGCGGCTCCCTTCGCGGCCCCTTCGAGGCCCCGCCCCGCTGCCCATAGCGACCCCAACCCGTCGCCCTTCGCGGCCCCGCCGCGTCGCCCTCGCCTCGTCGCGTTGCCCCTGCGGGACCCGCGGGGCGAGGCTCCTGTGCGTCGCGACGCCCCTGCGGGACCCGCGTGGCGTCACCGCTGCCCGCCGCGGCACCCTGCCCTAACCCGCGCCCTGGAGCAGCCGCCACTGCAGCAGCCGCCCCTGTAGCAGCCGCCACTGCAGCAGCCGCCCCTGGAGCAGCCTCCCCTGCAGCAGCCGCCCCTGGAGCAGCCGCCCCTGAAGCAGCCGCCCCCGGAGCAGCCGCCCCTGAAGCAGCCGCCCCTGGAGCAGCCGCCACTGCAGCAGCCGCCCCTGGAGCAGCCACACCTGCAGCAGCCGCCCCTGGAGCAGCCGTCCCTGCAGCACCCGCCCCTGGGCTGCAGCAGCCGCCCCTGGAGCAGCCACACTAGCAGCAGCCGCCCCTGGAGCGGCAGCCACTGCAGCAGCCGCCCCTGGAGCAGCCGCCATTGCAGCAGCTGCCCCTGTAGCAGCCACCACTGCAGCAGCCGCCCCTGGAGCAACCGCCCCTGCAGCAGCCGCACCTGGAGCAGCTGCCCCTGGAGCAGCCTTCCCAGCAGCAGCCGCCCCTGGAGCAGCCACACCCTAAGCAACCACCCTAGGAGCAGCCGCCACTGCAGCAGCCGCCCCTGGAGCAGCCACCCCTGCAGTAGCCGCCCCTAGAGCAGCCGCCACTGCAGCAGCCGCCCCAGAAGCAGCCGCCCCTGCAGCAGCCGCCCCTGTAGCAACCACCCCTGCAGCAGCCGCCCCTCCAGCAGCCGCCCCTGGAGCAGCCGCCACTGCAGCAGCCGCCCCTGGAGCAGCCACCCCTGCAGCAGCCGCCCCTGGGGCAGCCGCCCCTGCAACAGCCGCCCCTGGAGCAACCGCCACTGGAGCAGCCGCCCCTGCAGCTGCCGCGGAGCCCTCGCTCTACAGTGGTAGCGGCCTCGCAGTTGCCGCCGTCGTACGCCTGCCCTTCTCGCCACTAGTGAGCACTGCCCTGCCCGTACTGCTGTTACTGCTGCTCTTGCTGCTACTGCTCTTTCTAATGCTACTGCTGCTCCTGGCGTGTCCAGATGCAGCTCCAGCGCCGTCCGTGTGAGTCCCTCACCCCCCAACAGCTTCGTGAGTGGTACGCTAGTTGGGGTTATAGGGGTGGCCGCGCTGCGACTACTGCTATTGCTATTGCGGCTACCACTGCTCCTACTGCTCCTGGCGGTGGCCAAATGCAGCTCCAGCGATGTCCGCATGAGTCCCTCACGACCCAGCAGCTTCGTGAGTGGTACGCTACTTGGGGTTGTTGGGGTGGCCGTAGTGGGAGTCGTCCTGGAGTAAGTAGTTCGGCAGCTGCTTGTAGTGGCCAGGTGCAGCTTCAGCGTCGTCCGTGCGCGGTCCTTTCGCCCCAGCAGCTTCGTGAGTGGTACGCTCAGCGTGACGGGTCACGGGGTACTGCTCGCTGTCTGTACGTCATTTGCACTGGTGCTCGGACTGGTCAGCCTTGCGGGACGTTTGGTCACGCAGAGTCCCGCTGCTTCGCCAGTCTGAGCGACGCGTGGCGTACGGAGTTTGGCGACGCGGCGGAGCTCCCCGACTGGGTGGAGCTGCTTCGGCTGCGGGAAGATATCTATACTCTTGACTATGATGCTATCCTCACTGCC